CCTCCTGATGCCAAGTGCTGGGCTGTTGGACTCGGTGAGGGGGCAGGGCAGTGGGAGACAGCCCTGGGGCAGCTGAACCTGGGCTCTACTGAGGTGCATCAGCCCCCCATGTCTGGTGAGAAGGGACCCTGGGGTGGGCAGTACTGGTGAGGAGATGGGTGCCAGATGACCCTGCCCTTGGTGTGGCAGAGGGGATGCTGAAGGCTTGGCAAGGATTCTTTGACCACTGCAGGGTCATGGCATGGTTGAGAGGCTGCCTGTCCTAGGACCTGCTGTCCTCCTCACTTCAGCCCCAACACAGAGGGTTGTTGTGGTGCTTTGGGTGGTGGCTGAGTGGCAGGTGAATGTGGAGCTGGAGGCTTACACAGGGTCTGTGCTCTTCTGGGTGTGTTTGGAGTGGTGAGGCTTTCTTTGGTCCCAGGGCTCACTGATTGGGTCTTGCTTGGAGATGGGAGAAGGGATAGTGCTTGCTCTGTCTCTCTTGTGAAGATCATCTCCTGCACCTGGCCTTGTGGACAGGGACAAGAGTTTAACCTTGTGCCCTATGGGTAGGGACAGTCTCAAGCCCAACTGGCCAGTTTTTTCCTGTGGTAGGACAGGGTGGTAGAGCACAGACACAAATGAGATCCTACCTTCAGCCAGCCCAGTGACTGCTGGGCTGGGTTTCTCTAGATGACAGTTGTATGGGACCACATGTGCTGGCCTTGCACATTGCTCTCCTTGATCACTGAACCCAAGCTCAGGTGGCAGCAGGTTCTGGTTGCTGGAAACCCAAGCACCCAGTAGGGCCCACACTGAGAGTCCCCAGCCTTGCTGCATGGCCCAGAAGAGGCTGTGGAAACATTGCACCTTCTGCTTTGGGATGGCAGTGCAAAGGGAGATCACAGCATGGTGCTGGTTAGGGTTGACGTTTCTGGTCTGGTTTTAGGCAGCACAGCCCCCCCGCCCGCAACCTGGTTGTCCTGTTTTGTGGAAGACTTCCTTGCTGTTGGGCTGTGGACACACCAGGCATGTCCCACGGAGCCGTGGTGTGGCCAGTAGTGAAGCAGACAGATGTACTTGCTTAAGGTGAGGACATGTGTTGTGAGGGTCCTGCATCCAGACCAATGTCTTCTGCTCAGGGCAGAAGCAGGACAAAGGTTCATCTCACTTCTATGTCTCCTGTCAGAAGAACAAATGCCCTCATGTGGGCAGGAGGTTTGTCTGATGTGAGAGCTGCCCTTGTGGGTAAGGTCCATGGCTCCAGCTGATGGTGAACGGTGTCTGTAGGTCTCCAGACATCAGAAGATGGCAGATGTGCTACTGGGTGTCTGGAGCCAGGGGATTAGTGCAGACAGGGATGTCAGTGTCTTTAGCATGTTGTCTGTGACACCTGTGTGTGTCTCCTCTAGCTCAGCAGACCTCTTGGTGAGGTGGAAGGCTGTGATGGTGTCCTGAGGGTGCTCAACCTTCATCTTCTTCAGCTGGAGAACTGCCTGACTGGGACAGGAATCTCTTGGCCTCCCCAGATGTTTCGACAGCCTTGAAGCCCTGTCATGGCCCCAGGTGCCCCCCTTGCCATGAGATCCCTCAGGCAGGCAGGGGGCAGGATGCAGAGGGCAGTCCCTGTGGCAGAGCCATCCCCGGGGCTGGGGACTATTCTTGGGTGCTGCCCCTGGACTTATCAGCTCCCATGTGCTTCCTGCTCCCCCGGGGCAGGAGCTGGTGCCTCTCCCTGCTTCCCCTTCACCTTCCTGCCCTCACCACAGGGATGACCTAGTCCCTTCATGTCCTCCTGCCTGACGTGGGGCAGGAGCAGTGCTGGGCAGCAACCCATGAGAAACGCCCCAGCCTAGGGGGACAAAATGCTTGTGGACTTGGGCTTGCTTGTGGTCAGGCTGCCTTCCTCCCCCAGGATGTTGCTCCTTGGCTGCCTTTTGTGCAAGAGCCTGATTTGGAAGGGAAATGCCTGAAGCTCTCTTTGCTTGGAGTGCTGGGGGAGGTTCAAGGCCCTCCTTCCTCTCTGGGTGAACATCTTTCTGGTGAGGGGGGGATGCCCGGTGGCTGCTGGGGGCTTCCTGGAGCACCTCCTGGTCTGATCCTGCACTGGGGCTGGTGCTACCCTGCCCACTGGCCCCATGAGCACTCTGAGAGCATCAGAGCTCTGCTAATGGAGGGGAAACTGAGGCACAGAGCAGTGAAGGAGCAAGCCCCTTCCCCCGGGGAGGCTCCACAGCCTTGAGGCTCCCAGGCTTTCTTGCTGAGCTGTCTCTAGCACAGACCAGCCCTCTCACTCTCCCAGTTTTCCCCTTCCCAGTATTTCCTGGGACTTGGACATGCCAAGGAGCAAACCTACCCAGGGCTGGGAGCACCTGTGGTGGAAGAAGGAGCCCCACAGCTCCACATCACTTCTGGGGTGGGGAAATGGAAGTGTTGTCCCACTTCTAAACCCTGCAGCTGGACTCTTGAGTCCCTCTCTCCCTGTTTTCCAATCTTTTTGCTGCCGTGCCTTATAAGTCCTGGCTCCAGGGCAGCTGCAGCCTCTGCATTCCAGCAGCCTCGCGTCAAGTGGCCCTTGCTGTGTTGCAGTGGCTGGGCTCTGCATCCCCCCTCTGGGTCTGCCGGTGGTTCTGGGTGCCTGAAATGGATGTTGTCCCATGGGAAGAGCTGTGGTGTAGGTGCCTGAGCTGCTGGGGCCTGGGGGTGGCTGCCTGGAGCAGGGATTTTTGCCTTAGAGCTTGTCCCTGCCCTTGGCTGGGTGGGGAGGGTCTCCCTCCTGCTAGTGGTGCAGGAAAAATGTTGTGTGGACTCCTTGGTGTGTCTGAGCAGGAGGTGGCTTGTAACTCTGGGCAAAAATGTGAGCTACTTGTCCATAGCTGGGGGTGGCTTTCTGGAGGGTGTCACATCCAGTGGGATGGTGTGGATGAGGCCCATGGTCCTGCTGCCCTCGGGTGTCTGTGGCCACTGGTGGTAGAGGCTTGTGTGCTCCAGGGGCTGGGAGTGTGGCCCCAGGACCCAGCCAGCTTGGAGGGCTGGAGTGGCCGTGCAAAAGCAGGGCTGTGGATCATGCAGCCAAAGGGCTGATCTGGTGGGGGAGAAGGGTCTCTTTGTTGGTTTCTGGGCAGGTTTGGAGCAGTAGCTTAACAAAAGCCCAGTGCTGGGGACCAGATCAGCCTGGTTAGAGATGTCTTCTCATGCCTTGGCATCTAACATTTCTGATGTAACCTGACCTTGCTGGGCTGCAGGGGAGTGTCTGGCTCTGCTTGGGACTCTTTCAAGAGCTTTTATTTAACAGCAGACATGGCCAGGAGTTGTGGCCTCATGCTGACCTCCTGGCAGTCCTGGGGCTCTGGTAGGAAGAAGCAGGTGTTGCTGGTTGGCTTCTTCAAAACTGGTGCTTAGCACCTGGCTGTGCTTACACTGGGTGGGTGTCTCTAAGGAGACACAGCTGTGTCAGTACTGCTGCAGGACTTGAGCAGTGAATGGGTTTGTCCTTGTCCCTCCCTCCTGGTGTGTGGGAAGCTCTGCTGGGATCCTCCCTCTCCAAGAGATGGCCTAGATGGTCTTGTCTCTCCTGGCACAAATCCTGTTTTCCATGGCTCCCCTAAATCTCTGCTGGGTTTTGGACTGGGGACAACCCCAGGGGAGGCAGGGAAGGGAAAGCATCTTTTGCAGGGCTTCAAGCAGCAGGACCCTGCCAGGCTGTCCTAGGTGAGAGCTGCTCCCTGCCCCCCTGCCCTGCCTCCCTCATGGTCAGATCAGTTGTCCTGGGCAGGATGGGCTTGCCCTGACCTGGTATCTCATCTCAGGTCAGAGCAGGATGTTCCTGGAGTTCTGCTTCTGCTGTGACTTTTCCAGGCTCCTGCTG